CAGGACCATGACATTTATAAAGCTAAGAACCTTCTAACATACAATCAAACAAACTGGAGAACATGTAAAATAAAAAAGCCAAGAATGTGAACACAGCTACATGATGCACTGTGTATGAACGAGGCCTGTAGATACTGCTGGGGTTACAGAACGATCAGTTTGTAATATCAGTGAATAATATTTATTGTTAAAACAAAGAAGAACATCAGCTGATGGTACACTTCTTGACTTTTACCACGCTGAGGTCAAGATAATCATCCATTTCTTTTTGTTGTTTTTCTTTCAGGGTTTTGATTTCCTCTTCTTTTTTCTTTTCTTGGTCTTCTAATGTCTTGTACTCTTTGCTGTGTTCGTTCTGTTTCTGTTGCATTTCTGTCTCATGCTTATGCTTCAGAGCTTTCAGCTCCTCATCATGTTTTAACGTCAGAGTTTTGAGTTCTTTGTAATATTTTTCTCTGAACTCATTGAACTCTTCAGCTTGTTTTCTGGCCTCTTCATAAATTGTTTTCATGTTTCCCATTTTCTTCTTGTAGTTTTCCTCTAATTCTTTTCGCTCCTTCTCTTCTTGTTCTCTTTTGAGTCGATCTTCTTCTTTTCTTTTGTTTTCATATTTTTCTATTTCCTGTTTGTACTTTTCTCGAAGCTTCTTCAGTTTCTCTCTCTCCTTCTGACGTCTCAGTTCATCTTGATGCTGTTTTTCCCACCACTCTTTTCTTTCCTTCTCCCAAATCTCTCGTTTTTCTTTCATCTCTCTTTTAACCTTCTCCAGTTTTCTGTCAGTGATTTCCTTTTCCTTTGATTCTGACTTGATTTTTTTCTCCAGAGCTTCTCGTTCTTTTTCCCACTCCTGTTGTTGACGTTCTTCCTGCATTTTTCTTTTATTTTCTTCCTCGTCTCTAAGTTCTTCTTCTCTCTTCTGTTCTCTCTCAGATATTTTGATGTTTTTCTCCATTTCTTGAAGCTGCTTCTCTCTCTGTTTTCTCTCTTTTTCAGTCTCATCTCTCTGTTTTTCCATTCTTCTTTGCAGGCTCTTCTTTTCTTCCTGATGTTTCCTTTCAAGTTCTTCTCTTTCTCTCTGCATCTCTTCTTCTTTCTCCTTCAGGATCTTCTGCATTTCTTTCTGTATTGCAGTTTCAGCCTCTTGCAGCATCTCATTGGTGTAGAAGCTTCCCCCATTGTTCTTCACCATGGTGTCAATCTTTGTTATCAGCTCGCTGACTTGTGTACGGTTTTGTTTGTCACGGTTGTTGAACACATGGTATCTTCCTCCACAGTCAGAGATCAGCTTCTTGAAGGAATTATCACATTTTTTTTCAATGTACTCATCAATGGTCTGATCATCAGCTTCCAGATCGTCTCCTCTGGTTAAAAGAATGATGGTGAAGTTTTCTGAATTCTTCCCAAAGAATTTCTTGATTAATTTTAATGTCTCCTTCTCCTCTGCTGTGAATCTGCCGATCTGTATCACCAACAAGAAGACGTGTGGTCCTGGAGCCAGAAGACTGACACATTTCATCAACTCCTCATGAACTTCATGTGACAGAGTTGTGTCAAAGAAACCAGGAGTGTCGACCACAGCAACAGGACGACCGTCCACTTCACCCTGTACTTTCTGACAGTATGTAGTTACTGCCTGTTGAGCTGATTCAGCTTTAAACTCTCTCCTTCCTAGAATTGTGTTTCCTGATGAGCTCTTTCCACAGCCGGTCTTTCCTATCAGGACAATCCTGAGAGGCTCCATGTCCATGTTCTCATCATCACCTGTAAAAGAAGTATGTACGGGGCTAAATTAGACTTAGGAGCTATTTTATTGATAATGAAATACATAGCAGAGTATCACATTGAGAGAACAGTAAATATCAGTTACAGTTTACTTACCAGTGTCTGTGACCTTTGACCTCATCTCATTAAGCTCCTCCTGTAGAGAAATTATTTTTGTCTGCTGTTGTGAAATTTGATCCATTTTTCCGAATACAAATGTTGATGTTGTGTAACAGAA